GAGGGGGGGGGTAGCATATATATACGTGTGTGCGTGTATGTATATATGTATGTATGCGTGTATACATATATAATATTCATGTATTCATTTATTTATGCATGCAGGTGGACAAAGGCAATGGGTGTTGCGAGCAAATCCACGAATGTGCTTCAGGGGCAGATAGGTGGGGTCCTCTTTGAGTTTAAACTAGTTCAACATGCCACAGATGAAGCTCAAAGCCTGGGGGTGTGCTCCAATGTCCTGGCTTTCGAGCCCTCGGCTCGTTCTAGCTGCTGTGTGGCCGAAAGTGTGGCAGAGCTAAAGCAGTGGTGTGTTGCCGTTCTGGATCTTGTGCTTTGCAGTGCACTGGAGCTTGGTTCTCCGATTCGTGCATCATAAAGGCCTGGAGTTCTTGACATGCAGGAGCTGGAGCAACATCCAGCCCTTTTACGTCAGCATTTGCCGCCAGGCATGAGGGTGCTTGCAGCGAACCAGGGGGCCGGGGCATGATCCCGCTTCCAAAACCTCACACGTCGCGCTTGTCCCAGAGCCTTGATTGCCTTCTTGGACCTCTTGCTTTTAATGTCTCTTCCCAGCAGACCGTCCTTGTCTATCTGAGCGACTGTCAACGCAGATGCAGCAACAGACGCTTTGCTCGTGAGGCCTTGGATACTACAAATCGGCTGTTTTCCTTCGTCTGAGGGGGGCTCCACGCCTCGAAGACACGTCATCGTCATTGTCCTCCTGTGCTGTTCGGATGGCACCGGCTCATCATCTTGTACGTTCCCTTCCGTACTGTAGCTGATGTTGCGAAGCCCAGCTCGGCTGTAAACTGCCTTCGCCATGAGATCGTTCGACTCGTTTATTGCTGGGTCGAAGTTGTATGAGTGATGGTTTCGCCAGCAATCTTTGAAGTATGCAGGCGCCAAGGTGCGCTTGCAATTAGGGTACAGGCAGCGGCTCGCTGGTTTTCCAGTTTCATTTGAAATAAGAGGGGGAGGTTCTTGGAAAGTCGACCTTTTTGCACGAAATGCGTGAGAACTCGTCGGGTCAAGCGTAATCGCAAGTTGCTATCAATCATTATCAGCTGTCTTCCGCACATCTGTCTATCCATCCATCTCTCCTCATCCATCCATCCATCCATCCATCCATCCATCCATCCATCCATCCGTCCAGCTATGTATCTGCCTATTGATCTACTGCGCATGCCCAATCAAGCATGTATGTGTATGTAGGTATGTATATATATATATATAGCTACATACATACAGGTTCTACCTATGTTCGCATGCGCCTATATGTTGAACAGCTCATCGTACATCACGAGCAAAGTTGCCGGCGTTATCATTTTTGCCGTCGCGGCTTGTATGAAGACGAGCTTTGTTTGCAAACATACTTGCCACACAGCCATCATCAGCTACCGCAGACGATGAGAGGGCGACAAGAAACATCGGGTTGTTGTCGATTGCCGTCCTTGTCGTGGCCGTCGTCATTATCGTCGAGCTTCATATGGTACGTCACTGTTGCGGCGAAGCCGGCGACGTCGACCACTACTACAACTAGATACAACTAGTTTGGATGGTGTATTCTAGAGGAGTTGTTTCAAAGCAGAGAAGGCGCCGCCTCGCTGCTCTGCACCGAAGATGCCAGGGACCTCCTCGAGGCTCGGCGATGTGATGCCTCCTGCTCTGATATATATATATATATATATGCATATATATATATATATATATATATATTTATTTATTTATTACTTTTAACTTGTGTATTTATACATATATATATATATGTATGAAACATTGATCAAAATCACAAGTATATAACCGCCTACTCTATGTGTCTTGCTTCTTGCCTTTCCAGCTCGGTAGAGCGGGACAGCAGGCACGGAAGACTCGGATCTAAAGACGGGGTGTGGCTGAGGGCTTCACATAAATACTTGTTATCAGCTAGCGAACATCCAACATACTGACAGGAGAGGGCTCTTTGATATTCGCTTTTTGTGGGCAGCCATGAAGCTTTGCCGTTGGAGGTGCTTGCGCAGGACTCGACCCTGCGGCTGGTCTCGTCGTTTTTGCAGGAGGTCCGAGTGGCAACCACTTGATTTCTAGTAGTTAAGTTTTATGGTGCTCGTGTCAATATGCACCAGCGTGAGGTGGCAGCCAGGGCATGCGAGGGACCAAGAAGGCACTGTGCAGTTACTCGGACAGCTGGCACGCTGTCTCGCAACTCTGGTCGCAGGTCCCGCGTCTCGGAGACGAGTGGCGTGGCCCGAAAAGAGCTATGACTCTTGCAATACTCAGAATTAGCTTCGCGCTTAAATGTGCCACTTAATCCATCTTGGACAAGATTTTCGGCTTTGCGAGATCCCTCGTTCCGTGAAGCTGTGGAAAATGCCCAAGAGGCTGGAGTTGCTCGCTGCCCCCTGCGCATGTTATCTTCGAAACTTCATGTGTGTGTGTGTGTGTGTACAGCTTTCTTTTTCCGTTGCCTACGTGCTCCACAGCAACCGAGATGTTGCGATGCTGTCTAGTTACTAGTTGCCCACCATGCAGCATGGAATGCAAGTGCTGCCCTGGATCATAGAAAGAATCCTCAGAAAAACAAAGAGTCAGCAACACGCACACCTGACTTGCCAAAGGCACTAGCCGCCAAATATCCGCAGATTCATGCCCATAGGAATGGGCATCGTCCGTGTCGTGTCGTGACCGATGCAATTGGCGACTCCTTTGATCCAAGGCTCGGGTGCGGTCAGATCAACACTGTCGCTCATTCTTGCACGGCTACGTTCCATCTGCACCGTCAGGAGCCTCGATTGGCTGCCACCCTGCTTTGGAATGCTGTGCGTGCATTCTGTGGCTACTCGGTTGGTGTTGTCTCACCAAGCTGGTCTCTGGAGAGCCCAGCACCTCCGTCGCAACATGCAATCCGACAGGAGCATCATGAGCTTACCTTGCCTCAGCCTTTGTACAGGCCTGTACATCCTGTGCTTGAGCGCGGCGGTCCACGTCCGAATACCGGCGCCTTTGGGGCAAGGGCTGCCACTGCCGGACTTCCTCCTGATCTATCTTACAGGCCGAACAGCTGAAGTCAATTCTTGTCGCTTCCGTTTCCGGTTCAAGTGCTGGGAAGGTCATAGCACTTTCTATGCTTGCTGCTTCGGAGGCCCGAGGGTTGCTTGCATGAATCTGAAGGAGAATGTCTCCCAAACTGGCCTTTCCTTTCTATCCTCTTCCTTTCCATTGTATGGTTTGCTACAGCTCCCGCATTAATCATCCTAGGCCTGGCTTTTGATGTCTCAGTACCGTCGCCGGGATCCTCGTGGAAGGAGCGTCTCAGTCGCGACCTCTTACATTCGGGTCGTGGCTGAAAAAGGATCTTGCGTTTGTTTACCAACCATCCTCCAGCTTACCTTGCCTATATTTGCCTATGCCCTCTCTTCTTCTTGAAGATTCTTGCGCTTGTTGCAGCTTACCGCCTGTATTGTGTCTCTGTCGCTCGTCTCTGGCGGTGGCTCTTGCAGCTGATCCCGTATTAGCTCGATTGCCACTGAGAGATCTTGTAGCTCGCTTTCGGCTGGACCTGTGCTTCTACAACGCGTGCGATACTAAACAGATGCACATGTCATTCCCGGCATGCAGCAGTGCATGTCACATGTCTACACATGCATACTGCATATAGAATTACTTAAAATTACAAATGCTTCGAGGGGAGGGGGTTGTCTGGCCATCGTGAGAGAGCAAAGGACCTGCTTGTGCGTGGGTGTGTTTTTACTCTGTCTATCTTGTCTCGCGCAGCTATCTCGAGTCCTCATCTTGCGCTGCGGGTGTGTGCGTGTGTCTGGGGGCAGCTGCTGTGCATGCAATTAAGTCCTCAAGCCTCTACGGGCATGCAAGCCGGTTCGGCCCCTTTGGCACCATTCCTGCGTTGGTCACCCGTCGTCCCTGCATTGCTAGCTGTCACCGATTCCCAAAGTGTCTGCACGCATTTCATCCTGGCCCTGATCTGCAACATGGCAAACCTTCGGGCCTCCAGTACCAGTGCACGACAAAAACAAGTGATTGAAGGGAGTGTGCATGTCTGTGTGTCTGCATGTCCGCGCATGTGTAGGATTCAACTGTGTGCACGTTTGCACGCAGGTAGGCACGCAGGTGGGTGTTGGCACGGTGTAGGTAGATATGTACCGTGGGTCTCCATGAGTGTGTGTGTGTGTGTGTGCGCGTGTGTGCACGTGCGTGCGTGCTTGGTTGTTTGCTAGCGAGTGTGGGTGCACTCTGTGCCTTTTTTGGTCTCGCATTTGAATCGTTGAAGGCCTCTTCTGGTGGAGTTCCTCCTCCTGGCGGCTTTGTTGGCTCCTGGCCTCGCTTTTTTGCTTCCTGGCCACAGGGCGCCGGCGGTGGGCGCTCTCCCGGCTCCCCGTGTCGTCGGAGTCGAGAGCGCTGAGACCGTCGCAGCCGATGCTCACTCTGCTCCATCCGTATCTGCTTCCCGGCTACATGGATCAGATTTTCAGCAGGGACTTGCGGAGTTATCCAGTTATCCCAGAATCAGGTACTACTTTCTCTCGGAGCTGCCAGGGGCATCAGAGGTTGTCCGCATCCAGAGGATGGACCCACCAAGCCTGCGCATGCCCGTCGCCACTTACCTGCGCTATCCTTTGAGTGTGTTCCCATGACGTGTTCGTCGTCAACCTGAGGATGTTTGGCGCAGTTCTGCAGACCTGGCTTCCCGACCCGTGCTCTTCCTGAAGCAAAGCTGCAGAGAATCTGAGAGAGTCCTGCTCCATGACTTCAGCCTCTTGCTCTGCGGTGCACGGCTCCGAGGATCCATGGCGGTGCATGGCGAGGAGGCGAAGCGCGGTGCTCACCGCAGGAGCCACGCTTATAAGCATGCGGGTTTTGCAGTCAGATTAAGTTGAACGATTCCCGCAAAAAAAACAAGCATCCCCTGCCCATCAAAGCAGGCCCCGGTTCTTCAAGCTCTGGCATCTTCGGGCTTCCTCGTTGCGCCTCGACCGCGTCCCGTTGTGTCGGTGTCGGCCGGGATCTCTTTTCTGAGCCGCTTCCCGAGGTGAGCTGCGAGTATCGCCGCTTGCCAGGCACCGCTTCGGGCCGCTTCGGTCTAAAGGTGTAATGCAGTGTAATGACGAAATGAAGCCAGGCACACAGTGGCCCATGCAGCTGGAGGACTGTGAGGCGGCCTTCAGGTGGCTCCAAGACGAGGCCCGCGCCAGCTTCCGCTCGTCAAGGTTAAGACTAAGAGTCGCTCCGTGTTCTTTGCCTTTTGCAGGCGGCCACTCTGGGAGCTGACCTCTCCAAGGTCTCCATTGCGGGCACCTCCGCTGGGGGGCACATCGCCGCTCTTCTCCTTGCCCGGCGCAGCACTCAGAAGTTGAAGTTTGGGCTGGGTTTTTGTTTGGTCCCCGTAGGTTATTTTTGGTCGGAAGAAAGCCCTCCGTATCCATGAGCAAAAGAACCTTGCCCTCAGCGGACAGGCCGCTATCGCCCGAATTAGCAGTTCGATCACGGACACGATTTTCCCGGCTTCGGGCTTCCGCCTTTCGCGGGCTCTCTAGTCGCTTTCGAGCGGCTTGCTCCTTGTGTTCAAACTCTCTAGTATCTTTCGACATTCTCTAGTTCCTTTCGAGCGGTTTGCTTCTCGTTTTCCAACCCTCTAGTCTCTTTCGATAAAAACTCTCTAGTCTCTTTCGATATTCTCTAGTCTCTTTCGAGAAGTTTGCTCTTTCTTCTGAAATACTCTTTGTTTCAAACACTCTAGTCTCTGTCGAAATTCTCTAGTCTCTTTCGAGCGGTTTGCTCCGTGTTCTGAAGTTCTCTAGTTCCTTTCGACCGGCTTGCTCATTGTTTTCAATTTCCCTAGTCTCTTTCGCAATTCGAAAGTCTCTTTCGAGCGGTTTGCTCCTTCTTCTGAAATCCCCTAGTTCCTTTCGAGCGATTCGATCCTTGTTTTCAATTTTCTAGTCCTTCGAAATTCTCTAGTCTCTTTCAACGGTTTGCTCCTGCTTCTGATATATTGTAGTTCGTTTGCTCCTTGTTTTCATTTTCTCTAGTCCCTTTCGATTATTATTTTCAATTTCTCCTTTCGAACGGCTTGCTCCTTGTATTCAATTTCCCTAGTCTCTTTACAAATGCTCTAGTCTCTTTCGAGCGGTTTGCTCCTTCTTCTGAAATTCTCAAGGTCCTTTCGACGGGTTTGCTCCTTGTTTTCAAACTCCCTAGTCTCTTTCGAGTTTCTCTAGTCTCGTTCGAGCGGTTTGCCCCTTGTTCCGAAGTTCTCTAGTTCCTTTCGAGCGGTTTGCTCTTTGTTTTCGAACGTTCTAGTATCTTTCGAGCGGTTAGTCTTTTCCAAATTCTCTAGTTTTGTTCGAGCGGCTTGCTTCTTGTTCTCAAGCTCTCTAGTGTCTTTCGAAACTCTCTAGTCTCTTGCGAGCGGCTTGCTCCTTGGTTTCAATCTCTCTGGTCTCTTTCGAGCCGTTTTGCTCCTTGTTTTCCATCTCTCTCGTCCGTTTCGAAATTCTCTAGTCACTCGTCTCTTTCGGGCGGTGTGCCCCTTGTTTGTAAATTCTCTAGTCTCTCTCGAAATTCTCTAGCCCTTTCGAGCAGTTTGCTCCTTCTTCTGAATTCTTTATTCTCCTTCGAGCGGTTTGCTCTTTGTTTTCAAGTTCTCTAGTCTTTGTCGAAGTTCTCTGTTCTGAAATTCTCTAGTTCCTTTCGGGCATTTGCTTCTTATTTTCATTTTCCCTAGTCTCTTTCGAAGTTCTCTAGTCTCTTTCGTGCGGTTTGCTCCTTGTTTTCAATTTTCCTAGCCTCTTTCGAAATTATCAAGTCTCTGTCGAGAGGTTAGCTCCTTCTTCTGAAATTCTCTAGTTCATTTGGAACGGTTTGCTCATTGTTTTCCATTTCTGTAGTCTTTTGTCCGACTTCCCTAGTCTCGTTCGAGCTGTGTGCCCCTTGTTTTCTTTAGTCTCTTTCGAAATTCTCAAGTCTCTTTCGAGCGGTGTGCTCCTGCTTCTGATATATTGTAGTTCCTGTCGAGCGGTTTGCTCCTTCTTTTCAAACACAAGGTGCAAACCACTCGAAATGAATTAGAGATTTTCAGAAGAAGGAGCAAACCTCTCGAAAGAGACTGGGGAATATCGAAAGAGAGTAGGGGGTCTGAAATCAAGGAGACAACCGCTCGTAACCAGGAGCAAGCCGCTCGGACGGAACTAGATAATTTGAGCAGAAGGAGCAAACCGCTCGAAAGAGCAGAGACTAGAGTGTTTGAAACAAAGAGTATTTCAGTAGAAAGAGCAAACTGCTCGAAAGACACTAGAGAATTTCGAAAGAGACTGGAGAAATTGAAAACAACAGAGTTTCGAAAGAGCCTACTAGAGAGATTGAACACAAGGAGCAAACTGCTCGAAAGAGACTAGGGGATTTCGAAAGAGACTAGGAAAATTCAAAACAAAGCCCAAGCCGCTCGAAAGGAATTAGAGACTTTTCAGGCGAAGGAGCAAATGAAAGACAGCAGAGAATTTCGAAAGAGACTAGGGGGTCCGAAGAAAGGAGCAAACCGCTCGAACGGAACTAGATAATTTCAGAAGAAGGAGCAAAACGCTTGAAAAAGACTAGGGGGTTTAGAATAAAGGAAGTATAGAAATTAAAAAAAGACGGAGCAGACCGCTCGAAGGAGACTGAATAAAGACTTTTCGCAAGAGACAAGAGAGATTGACAACAAGGAGCAAAGCCGTCCGAAAGAGACTAGAAAGATTGAAGACAAGGAGCCAGCCGCCCGGAAGAAACTAGAGAATTTCGAAAGAGACTAAAGCAAATGAAAACAAACAGCAAGCCGCTCCAAATTCCGTAAGAGACTAGAGAAATTGAAAACAAGGAGCAAACCGCTCGAAAGGAACTTGGGAATTTCAAAAGAAGGAGCAAACCGCTCGAAAGAGACTAGAGACTTTCGAAAGAAATTACAAATTTGGAAAACAAGGAGCAAATCGCTCGAAAGGACCCAGGCAATTTCAGAAGAAGGAGCAAACCGCTCGAAAAAGACTCTAGAGACTTTCCAAAGAGACTAGAACATTTGGATAACCAAGAACGAACCGCTCGAAAGGATCTAGAGATTTTCAGATGAAGGAGCAAAACGCTCCAAAGAGACTAGAGAATGTCGAAAGGAATGGGGGGGCAGTTGAAGGAATGGAACAGGCCGCTCGAAAGGAGAAATTGAAAATCATGAGCAAAAAAACTTAAAGGAACTAGAGAATTTTAGAAGAAAGAACAAACCGCTCGAAGAGACGAAAGGGACCAGAGAAACTGAAAACAGGGAGCAAACCGCTTGAAAGGAACTACAATATCAGACAGGAGCACACCGCCATTTCGAAAGAGACTAAAGAAAACAAGGGGCACACCGCTCGAACGAGACTACAGAATTTCGAAAGAGACTAGAAAAAATTGAATACAAAGACCAAACTGCTCGAAAGGCACTAGAGAATTGCAGAAGAAGGAGCAAGCCGCTCGAAGGAGACTAGAGAAATTGAAAACAAAACGCAAACCGCTCGAAAGAGGCTAAAGAAATTTCGCAAGAGACCAGAGTTCGAAAACAAGGAGCAAACCGCTCGAAAAAGATTATAGAATTTCGAAAGAGACTAGAAATTTGAAACAATGCAAGGAGCATGCCACTCGAAAGGAGAAATTCAAAATAGTGAGCAAAAAAACAAAGGGAACTAGAGAATTTCAGAAGGAAGAGCAAACCGCTCGAAAGAGACGAAAAAGACTAATTAGAGAGGCTGAAAACAAGGCTAGAGAATTTGGACAAACGACTCCAAAAATTGAAAGCAATGAGCAAACCGCTTGAAATTATCTAGAGATTTTCAGAAGAGGAGAGCAAACCTCTCAAAAGAGATCAGAGACCCTCGAAAGAGAATAGACAAATTGAAAACAAGGAGCAAACCGCTCGAAAGATACTAGAGAAAAACGAAAAAGACCAGCGAACACAAGGAACTCCAGAACAAGGGGCAAGCCTCTCGAGATAGACTAGGGAATTTCTACAAACATCAGAGAACTTAAAAAAAGAGCAAACCGCTCGAAGGAGAATAAAGAACTCAGAAGAAGGAGCAGGCTGCCCGACAGAGATCAGAGAATTTCGAAAGATACTACAGAGTTTACAAAGAAGGAACAAATCGGTCGAAAGAGACCAGTTTCGAGACAAAACGGTTCGAAAGAGACCAGAGAGTTTGAAGCCATGGAGCAAGCCGCTCGAAAGAGACTAAAGAATTTCGAAAGAGACTATAAAATTTGAAAACAAAGAACACACCGGGGGGTTCAAGACTTTGGATATAAAGATTGAAAGCAAGGATCGAAACGCTCGAAACGAACTAAAGACTTGCAGGGGAAGGAGCGAATCGCTCAAGAAAGACTAAAGAATTTCCAAAGAGATTAGGCGGTTTGAAGACAAGGGGCAAACCGCTCGAAAGGAACTACAATATATCAGAAGCAGGAGCAACACGCTCGAAAAAAGACTAAAGAATTTCGAAAGAGACTAGAGAGTTCGAAAAGCAGGGGCAAACCGCTCGACAGGACCTAGATCATCTCAGAAGGAGCAAACCACTCGGAAGAGACTCGAAAATATCGAAAGAGACTAGAAAAATTGAAAACAAGGAGCCAACTGCTCGAAAGGAACTGGAGAATTTCAGAACAAGCAGTAAACCGCTCGGCAAAGACCAGAGAACTTGAACTCAAAGAGCAAACCGCTCGAAGGAGAATAAAAAACTCAACAGAAGAAGCAAACTGCTCGAAACAGATTACAGAATTCGAAAGAGACTAAAGAGAGTGAAAACAAGGAGCAACCGCTCGAAAGAGATTAGAGAATTTCGAAAGAGACAGGGGAGATTGACAACAAGGAGCAAAACCGTTCGAAAGAGACTAGAAAGACTGAAAACAAGGAGCAAGCCACTCGGAAGAAGCTAGAGAATTTCGAAAGAAACTAGAGAAATTGAAAACAAGGAGCAAACCTCGCGAAAATCTGAAAGAGACTGGAGAAATTGGAAAACAGAAACAATCCGCTCGAAAGGAACTAGAGAATTTCAGAAGAAGGAGCAACCTGTTCGAAAGCGACTATAGAATCTCGAAAGGGACTACAAAATTTCAAAACAAAAAACAAAGCGCTCGACAGGTTGGAAACAGTGAGCAAACAATCAAAAGGAATTAGAGGATTTCAGAAGAAAGAACAAACTGCTCGAAAGAGACGAAAGGGACTAGAGAAACCGAAAACAAGGAGCAAAGCACTCGAAAAGAACTACAGTAGATCAGAGGCAGGAGCACACTGCTCGAAAGAGACTTGAGAATTTCGAAAAAGACTCAAGAAAACAAGGGGCACACACTGCTCGAAATGAACTAAACATATTTCTCCTTGCGAGCGGCCTGCTCCCTGCGTGCAACTGCCCCCATTCCTTTCGAAATACTCTAGTCTCTTTCGAGCGCGGTGCTCCTTCTGATATTCCCTAGTTCCTTTCGAGCGGATCGTTTTTTGTTTTACAAATGTTCTAGTCTCTTTCGAGCGCGGTGCTCCTTCTGAAATTCTCTAGTTCCTTTCGAGCGATGTGCCCCTTGTTCTCAAACGTCGTAGTCTCTGTCGAAATTCTCTAGTCTCTTTTTAGCGGTTTGCTCCTTCTTCTGAAATTCTCTAGTTCCTTTCAAACGGTTTGCTCCTTGTTTTCAATTTCTCTAGTCCCTGTCGAAATTTCGAGCGGTTTGCTCCTTGTTTTCAATCTTTCTAGTCTCCTTCGAAATTCTTTAGTTGCTTCCGAGCGGCTTGCTCCTTGTTTCGATTCCTTCTAGTATCTTTCGAACGTGGCTCCTTGTTGTCAATCTCTCTTGTCTCATTCGAAACTATTTAATCTCTTTCGAGCGGTGTGCTCCTCGCTTTCAATCTCTCTAGTCTCAGTCAAAATTCTCCAATCTGTTTCAATCAGTTTGCTCTTTCTTCTGAATTCTTTATTCTCTTTCGAGCGGTTTGTTCTGTGTTTTCACGTTCGCCATTCTCTTTCGAGCGGTTTACTCCTTGTTCTCCAGTTCCTTTCGAGCGGTTGGCTCCTTTTTTTCAATTTTCTAGTCGATTTCGATATTCTCGAGTCTCTTCCGAGTGGTTTGCTCCTTCTTCTGAAATGATCTGGGTCCTTTCGAGCGATTTGCTCCTTGTTTTCAATTTCTCTAGTCTCTTTCGATGTTCTCGAGTCTCTTCCGAGTGGTTTGCTCCTTCTTCTGAAATGATCTAGGTCCTGTCGAGCGGTTTGCTCCTCGTGCGAAACGCTGTGTCTCTGTCGAAAGTCTCTAGACTCTAGTCTCCTTCGAGCGGTTTGCTCCCAGTTGTCAATCGCTGTAGTCTCTTCCGAAATTCTCTAGTCTCTTTCGAGCGGTTTGCTTATTGTTTTGACATTCTGTAGTTCCTTTCCAGCGGTTCGCTGCTTGTTTTCAAAATCTCTAGCACTATCCAAATTCTCTAGTCTTTTCTGAAATTCTGTAGTTTTTCGAGCGGTTTGCTCATTGTTTTCAAACACTCTAGTCTCCTTTCCGTAGTTGTTCTTGAGTGGTTTGCTCTTTGTTCTGAAGTTCTCCAGTTCATTTCGAGCGGCTTGCTCCTTGTCGTCAAATGCTCGAGTCTCTTCGATACTCCGTAGTGTCTTTCGAGCGGCTTGCTCCTTCTTCTGAAGTTCGCTAGTTCCTTTCAATCTCCTTTCCTTTCCCTTCTCTTCTCCGATTCCCTGCCTTTTTCCTTTTCTTCCTCTCTCCCTGTCTCTCTGGCTCTCTGCAACTCTGTCTGTCTGTCGCTCTGTTTCTCTCTTCGTCTTCTTTCTCTCACCTCTGCTTTCCCCCGTCCGCCTTGGTTTCCTTCTGTCACCCTTTCTTTCTTTCCCGGTACTTCTCTGTCTCTGTCTTTCTGTCTCTCCGTCTGTCTCTTTACTATTTTGTTCCTTCGGCCTTAGACCCCCAAACCCAGGCCGCACAAAAAAGCCTTGTACTGCCGGTTGGGTTGTTTTTTGCCTTTTTAAAGATTCTTTGTTCCTTCGGCCTTAGACACCCAAAAAAAGGGGCGTGAACAAAACGCAGTATGACGGGTTGATGCCGATTAGGTAGTTTTTTTTTGGCCCCCTGAAAGATTCTTTTGTTCATTCTGCCCCAGACTCGAGACCCCCAAACCCTGAGGATCTAAACAGGGCGCGAAAAACGACACCCGGCGGGAAAGTGACCATGAGGATCCTTTTCGGGGTGTGAACAAAGCCCCGCCCCTGAAGTTTTCACTCGGAGCAGTGGAGCAGAGATGCAAGTGCAAGGATGCTGAACGAGCGGAGCGAGAACGCCGAGCACGGCATCAGAGTCAGCGCCATGCTGCTCTTCTACCCGGCCTTGGATCCTGCTGATCGCACCGGCAACACGGTATGCTCCCCCTTCTCCTGCTCTTGCCTGGGTGTGAGGCCCCAGCAGCCTGAAGCCCCTCCCGCTCTGTTTCGAGTTGATCCGATGCCAGGCGTGGTATGAGCTTTCTGGCATGGTACTTTGAGAAGTGCCTTGGCTGCACTGGCCTCTGCACTTGGGGTTACCATGCACCAACTCTTGCAGCTTCATTGGTTGGCTGCAAGTGTTTTGGCCACCAGGTTTGTTCTTCAGGACCGCCAGCTTTGGCCCTCCGCGGAGCCCTTGGAGCTCCTCCAATCGGCACCTCAGCATCTGCAATAAGACGGTGCCATACCGTTCTCATTAGCTGACAATTTCCTGATAATTGCCACAAGTTTGTGTGATGCTGGCTTTTACACTTAATTTTGGTACGACATGTACACCCCATGATGAAGGGTAGCACCGCTCTTGTCAACGCAGCCTCCAAGCTGCTAGTGCGAGTTGTCGTCCTCTGGCCGATGTTTGTGACAGTCATCATCCTCTGTCATCATGACAGTGGGCCTGTAGTCATCACCAGGCCAGCCAGGAGGTTGCCGCAGTGTGGCCGCCGACCCTGCACCTTGGGCCAGATTTCACGGGCTTTCTAGGTTGTGAGGCTTCGGCCGTCCTAGGGGTGGCAGAACGTGTTGCTGCACATGAAGCAACGCTTTGAGCCTCATGTCATCATTTTCATGTCAGGATCATTCACGGAGAGATGGACGGCGTGGTTCCTGTGGAGCATAGCTTCGGGCTCAGAGCGAGGCAGCACAGGTCGGTGGCCGGTCGCCCTCGTCTTGGGGCGCGCTCGATGTATATGTGAGCTACTCCACACTTACCACATGCATCAAAAGCTCGTTTGAAGCATTGCTTGGTGTTTTGGTCGCAAAGGCGTTCCTAACGTATTCCACGCATACCACGTGCAGCAAGGACTGGGTCGGTTATTACATGCATCAAAATGTCGTTTGCAGATGTCGGACACCATGATAGCGTTACCCCGCGACGTACATGTGAACTATTCCACGCTTACCACCTGGCATCAAACGCTCGTACATTCAAGACACCATGAGTGGGGTATCGTAGTGTTATGGTCGTGTGGCGCGGCGTCCAATGTACATGCGAGCTACTCCACAGTTGCCACATGCATCACAAGCTCGTGCGGACATTTTGGACGCCACGCGTGGTGTTACGATCGTGGTGGCGTCCGATGTACGTATACTATGATTTTAGTCCAGATTTGCCACATGCAGCAAAAGATAGCAAGAGCTCGTCTGAACTTGGACACTGCTCGGTGTCACGACCGGGGCGTGTAAAGTACATGTGCATTAGTCTACACCCGCGACATGCATCAAGAATTCGTCTGGTATTTTGCGCACACTGCTTTGTGTTGCGGTCGTGGGCGGGGGGGGGGTCCAATGTACATGTGAGGTAGCCCGGACTCGCCACGAGCATCACAAGCTCGTTGGGGCACGTTGGGCACACTGCTTGGTGTTACGGTCGTGCGGGCTGTCCAACGTACACACTCACCACATGCATAAATCGTACAATGATCGTTTCGACATTTTGGACACTCTCTGCTTTTCACGAAAAACAGAGTCTGAGCCAAAGGCCGCTCCTTCTTGGCATCTCTGGGCGCAGCGAGCGCAGGTCCGGGCCCAACTGAAGCAACAAACTGAACAGATAGAGTAGTAATATTACATATATATATATATATGTATATATATAGAGAGTAAATAAGTACGTCGTTAATACTATAACATGAGTAACCACCTCAGCACTAATATTCATAAGCGCAATAAGACTATACCAATAAGAGTTGTGATTATTGCTACAAAGAAGGCTGCGCATGTCGGGCAAATCTCGCACGAGGCGGCAGCTGCGAATCAGACACTGGAGGCTCAGCTTCGTGCGGAGATTCCACGGGATCGTGGGCCTAAGACTTGCTGTGCCCAGGTGAGGGGAGCGGTCGCGAATTCAGAAGTGTGGACAGGCCTGTTGAAGTTGCGTGCTTGCTCGCTTGCTCAAAGTGCTAGGCGGCTTCAGCTGGTTCCTTCGCTACGCAGGCTCCTGGTCATGCCTCTCGCCCGCCACATTTTCGAGACTTGGATGACCCTATATGCAGCCCACAGCCGGTGAGCAAGCCAGTACTGGTAACGAATGTGCTGTTTCGGATGACTTCTTGAGATTCAGGAGATCGCCGCTGGCGATCTGGCTAGCGCGTCGTACGATGCAGCCATCGGTTGGCTATCGCAAGTGCAGGACAGGTGTCAGAAAAGATGAGTCGAGGAGTGCGATGTGGCAACTTCAGAATGTCGCCGTTGCCGTGGGGAGGGCTAAACTGACGACCTGCCTCCTATGGCATGATCTTGGGCATGCGTAGTGCGAGCCGATGGCCCCACAGCAGACCTTGGTAGGAACTTCAAAGAACCGCTCAAGGGATGCCTTCGATGACCAGCCTCCAGACAAGGGAGCCCGAACGCAGTCCGAAAGCCAAGGGCGCCACAGGTCTCCCATCAAACTTTTCTTCTGTGCTGTAGCGACATTGGGTCATTTCTGCTTGTGCATTAATCGGATGTCCGAAGTGGATGGCGCCATGTCTCATGGCCTCTCTCGGAGCGCTTCCCACTACGACCTGGCCAATGCCAGGTCATTACTGCAGAGACTGCGCAGAGGCGGGTTGAAGCGTTCAAGAGCCACAGAAATCGAGGAGGGATGGATCTAAGGAATCTAAGGAAGACTGCACCGGCAGGATGACAGCATTGGCGTACTCCCTCCCGCCGTAGCTTTTTGTGTAACCCGATAGCCAGGATCTTTAAAGCAAGCGAACTCCAATTTGCAATGGAGATGTTTAAAGCCCTTTCAGCTGGGATGGCACCTACAGAAGCCTCGGATTCGCAGTTCTACACTCTACCACAGAAACCGCCCAACGGAGTGTTGTGTTAGACTTACAGGTCCTGTGGATGATGAATCAAATGGCTCGGAGATTGCCCAGACACCCGGATCTTGTGTGCCTTGGCTTTTGCTGGCTTTTGCACCTGTCAAGCATGTCTTCCGACCGCCATCCGTCACATTACAGCAGCTGCTGCTGCGACCACTTTCGCTACCTCCACTGCCATCACCACGCGTCACCACTCCACGCGCATCGCGCGGACGACGGTTTTCGCCTCCACCTCCTGCTCCTCCTCTGCACCAGCCACAAGCATGACCACACCGAAGTTGACCACAGGTACACGGAAAGTGTTTCGAGCAGGAGGCTTCCCGCTAAGCGACAGTGATGGCAATCGTATTGGCCGGTGGTGAGGATGAATACTCTTTCGATCATGGTGATGCATGTAACCACATTGGTGACAGATGTAGCGTGCAGCGACAATCCCCCGGTGAAACTTGTCAAAGCAGCGAGCAAGCCTGTGCTGTGATCAGGCAAGCATCACTTGGACTTGTAAGCTCAGGCTCGGTTTCTGGTCTGGCGCGTGCTCGAAAACTGGGATGGACAAGGTCTCTCCGATCGACGGGCTTGTCTTGCGGCCTCTCGGCTGCACGGTGTGCCATCGGTGGCTGAGGTTATTCTAGAGGCGCAACTCTTCATCTGCTTGGATTTCAGACTGTGGTTCTTGGCAGGGACTTTTCTCAGGTGATTTTGGCAGAAGCGCTTCTGCTAAATCGCGTGGCGGCCCTGCCGACTTTCACTTTGGCTGGTCAGCACAACAATGGCACCTCACGTGCGTCGGACCTCATGGAATACCTGTCACTCCGACACATCCCCGTCCAAACTGTGCCTCTGAAAAGTGCTGCTCTAAGTTGACAGAGGGGATGAGCGTCCTTTCAGCAGAGACGGTCGAGATCCGTCACAACGCCTGTGAAGGCCTCCCTTCGAGGGTCTGGCAAGATGCCATGGACGTGCACGGCGAGCTGAACCCAGCACGGTGGAGAGACGTGCCTTCCTCCGCGCTGATACGTTACAGCTCCAGGGAAGGATTCTGGAAATCCGGGATCCATGCCTCGGTGATGAAACTTGCCGGCCTCTTTCATGGTACGGGAATGCAACCAACTGCAGGGCTTTTCGATCCATCGACCCGTGTCGTAGAGGCAGTGGCATGGATGCAAGCTAGGTTGATTTGCTCTTCTGCTTTCTTGGTTCGGTCCATCCAGCAAAATTCGGAGAGCAATGCTCTACGTGTGGACGGTGATAGGAGAACCTGGCTAGATCGAGTAATGCTTCTTTGGATTTGAAGAACTCAAAAGGGCCGTCGCCCCGTCGCTTCACTGGTTGTGGATTACCGGATGTACAAAGGCATACCTAGGTGTATTTGCACGCCGCTGCAGTGTTGAACGGGAGCCTGTTGTTCTTCAAGTGTCGTGTGTAGTTGCTTCTTCCGAGGCTGCCCAAGTCCGGCTGCGACTGGGACTGGGGCCTGCCTACATTGGGGTTCATGTGAGGCGAGGGCCGTGACGGAATGGCGTGGCTTTGGTTTCAGATGCTGAGGTCTGAGGTAGGCTGCAGCATAGTGTCTTGAGTCTTAACTGCTTGGAGAATGGAAGTGTAACATAGTGTAACGCAATGTACAACCTGTTGACTAAAGTTAATGACCCCGTTCGAAGGCGTGGGGACAAGCTCCTGATCCCTGGCCTGGACTTGGCAACCACGCCAGAGGCTGTGGCCGAGCGAGTGGCACACCTGGCCCCCCCTGGCGTGCGAACGGTGCCACTTGCACACGATTTTCAGCTTTCTGAGCCAATTTATAAGCAATGCTGCAGCCGTGACTAAGAGTGAGGCTCCAGATGCCAAAGTGCTTTCTACCTCCAGTACGTCTTATTTAGTTGATGGCTCTCAGGGTGCTAGAGTCCTAGATGGACTGGGCGTCGCGTGCTACATGGGGCCTGGCCCACAAGCCGGCAGGAGTCGTTGCTTGCGCCGTGAAAACCACAGACTCGGGTGGTTACATCAGTGTGGCTATACGGTGAGAAGGCTGCGGTGGCAGCGACGATTGTCCAGGAATCTTCGTAGCTCATGCAACATGCGTGGCTATGCAGGGCCTGCATGTGTTCAGCTGGCTGCTAGGTCTATGCAAAACTCCGAGAATGCATTTTTTCGTTAAGACAACACACGGTGCAAGCTACGAGCAAAGCCAGCAACTCCCCAGGTATGTCGCCACGAACGACACACAGGCGGACTACGGCACTGCACTTCTCAAGAGGGGCTTCCAGTGCTTCAGCTCCCACAGCTGGCTTCCTTCAGTAAGTGACAATTTCTTCCTGTTTGCGGTTGAGATGCAGATTGTTGATGCCGCCTCCGTGAGCATCCGAACATTCAACGACTCCATGCCGTGGTACAGGGCCGGTCTTGCCAAGCCGTCCCATTTTTTGCTGGATCGCAGCATGCACGACTATGTCTTTGGCTTCAGTGCCACGGGCTCTTGGTGCACATGGCCCGAGAGCCCTGTGCTCCAGCCAGAAGCATTCTGGCAAACGGCTGCAGACGACAGGGCAGAGGAGACTCCGAGTGAGCCTGCGGTGGCGGAGCCGGTGACGAAATACAGCATTGTGGTCCTCGAGGGGGAGAGCTCCGAAGGATCAAAGTGGTGGCAACTGCCAGCCAACATTTGGCCGATGGAGGCTTCGGGGACAACGCAAGAAGTGACCCTGGAGTTCTTGGAGCCATGGCTTCGGAGTGCCCCAAAAAAGGAAATCTCCACGTGGACAGAGTATTTCGGGGCCCTGGCAGCTTTCACGGATGACATTTCCGAGTGCTTGACACGAAGATCTACGCTTTATGGCTTTGAGAATGTATCGAGGAGGCACCGGCATCTGACTTCTGCAACTATTCCTCGGCGAGGAGCAGTCTTCTGCTACGTTTCTGTTGGCAAGGTGTCGGTTAGGGACCAATACGGCTCCTTCGAAATCGTCGGCGGACAGTACTGCGTCGTTCCCGCTCCTGTTCGTTTTGAGCTAAGCAGCAAGACCAGACTGGTGGCCGTCCATACGCATCCATTCCAGCCTTTGCGAACTTTCGCCGCTTCTGGTAAGTGTTGGCCTGTTTGATAGCTAATCTTGTAGTTTGGTCTTTGTCTTTAGACCGAAACTCCCTGCAGAGAAGCACAAAGCCTTGGATGTCAACACTTACAGTACAAAAGGCTTGTCAAAGTGCAGATGCTCAGCCGTCAACAGACACCTACACCAGCTTTGCTATGCACGCTGTCACCTGACACAAATCCAGACATCCCCCAAAGCCGTCGCAGCCTTCAATCCCTTTCTTTTCATGAGCACCTTGCACGCATGCCGTAGGGATGTTCCGTGAAAGCCAAGGAACTATCGGCGGTCCGATTGAAAGCAAGGGCCGATTGCGGTATGTGGACGGATGCAGCGACACGCTCTTGCTGGCTCCGCCGAAGCTGTCGGATCCATGCCTGAACTTGCTTCATTTCCCCCCAGGGATCCATCAAACATTACACACGCATCCTTCCGTGCGTTGCGGGCTCATTGCAAGTGGAGCTGGATATTGCATGGATGGAGATCATCGCAAGATGGAGCTGCAAGAGGGCATGGTTTGGGCCATCCCGAAGGATGCTGTCCATTCCTTCCACACGGCGGAGTCGAACGAGGAGTTGAATGTCATCGCCTTCCATCCCGACTCGGACTGGGGTCCTTTGGACGAGGACCATCCCATGCTGAATCGGACATGGGTGGACGGTGCCAAGATTGACAACTGCACCGAAAGTCACCGAAGGGCCGACATGCTTCTTACGGACCAGTCGAGGGCCCTGCATCTCGCAAGCTCCGCCCAGGCAAAGCTTGGCCCAAAGCCGCCAGAGCCAGGACCCGAGTGCAGTGCCCGAAAGCTTCGTCACACTTACATACTGGGTTTTTTTGAAAGGGCGCTCGCGAGACTGTAGGCCCCGAGTTTTTAGTTTCTCTCTTTCCAGGAGAAGGCTCTGGCTGTCGCAGCAATTGGGCTGTGCATTTGGCGGTTCTCGCGGATGACCTTCGCCCAGTAGAGCTGACGAAGGAACCTGTGTCCTGGCAGCACGGACGCCCTTTCCCAGTGGCATCCCGAGCGTGACCTTCCTGTCGAATGTAATGTTGCTTTTCGAGCGTGCATCTCTCAGCCAAGCCAAGGCCGTGCCTGCTTCGTCAAGCACGCAGTATTGCCGGGCTGCTTTGAAGACTGAGCAGACATCGCGGTGGGGCCGGCAACAGTTGTCGCTGTGCATCGGAGACACGAAGGCGGCTTGGCTCAATCACCCAGCTGTAGATCTGCACAGAGGATCGTAGAGTTGTAGAGGACAGTAGATGACGTCCTTTCCAACTTTGAGAACCCAGGCTGCAGATGGCTCTTGCTCACAGGCTCGCAGAGTGAGGCTTGACACAAGCTCCGGCCTGTTGAGTGTGTCCATGTGCAAGGGATAAACGTCACCATGCTGTGGTGGGGAGTCGTGCTCTGATTAGGATGATTAGGCAGGATATGTTCGTCGCATCACCGGTGGCCTGCTCGTTGATTCGCTGGAGATCTGCATCCGCAGCCCCTGAGAGTCCGTGAAGTCTTCCTTGGCCTGGGGTGTGAGCTGTATACCAAGTGTCAGGCGTTCCTCCACAAGCACCACCTGCCTTTCATTTCATGTGCTTGCAACCCCTCGCAATCCCCGCGTGTCCTGGCTTTTCTCCTGTGCGCAGACCTGCGCAGAGCCATGGGTTACCGCATTGGGGGACCCTGGGGCTCCGCTCCGCCCGATGCGGCGAAGAAGCGGCTTCAGGCCGGCTTTAACAGAAGTACAATCGATTGTCGCGCAACTCGGAGAAAGGCCAATCGCGCGGATGAGAATCGCTTCGTGACGACCTACAACAAAACCTTCTGTGCCTTTCTGAGCTTCTGTTCAAAGATGCTCCCGAGCACAGGGCCCCATGCACACGCACTGCTGCGCCAGCCTTGTTTTCGCACTGTGTTTCCGATTTACTGAGGCTTGTCAAAGTCGCAGTCAGCCACAATGGTGAACCCGCCCAAGAAGATGCTGCTGCCGCAGATTGGTGGCGATGTGCAGAGACCTGGCTACTACTTGTCTCCCAATTCCATTTCCATTGTCAGCCTTTTGAGAGCTGAGGAACGCTCCGTTCAAGGGCGCGCCAACTCCCGTGACTCAGGTCGAACGGAGAGTGGTGCAAAGCATTTGTAGTTGCACGAGTTTGTTTGTAAGTGAATGGCGTAGACTTTTCAAAGGAGCACAGTTGACGCACAGGCAGCGCATCAGGGCTGCAGTGTATTGCAAGGCAAACACGATCAACCCGATTGCGACAATGTCCATGACGAAGTCCATGACCAAATCGCTCTCAAACAGTTCGCTACAACTGGCAGGCTCCGGGAACGGTGGCATGGGAGAAGCGAGCTGTTGCAAAATTGTAGCAGCTGAACAGCTAGCAGGATCATGATCCTGTTGCAGTCTTAAGCTCTCTTGAGGCCGTGCACTCTCGACAGACGTCTTGAGGATGAACGCTTCCTACGAAGAGCAGCTCGGACTCGTGCTAGAAGACAGATAAGCCACAAGGGAAGTGTCACGGCGTTGAGGCGTGACTACTGACTATTGCGCCTTTCATTCAGTGTTTCGGAATGCCATGGACTGAGGGTGACTGGCACTCTGATGTTGAAAACCTTCAAGAACAGAGCTTCTCAGATGCAGGAAGGAAGTCGCACCAGCTTGGTGCCGAAGTAAAGGCCACCCCGCACAGGGCCTCCGCCAAGAAGCTCAGTCCAGAAAGCTTCCGAACAAAAATGCGCTGCGAGCACGCACAGATCTCAGGATATGCGTCGAAAGTGCCTTGAGCTCCTGGCAAGACCTGACCTTAGAGACATCGCGCAGGAGACGTAAGGGTTCGTTCTGCAATGCTTCACTGAGGTGCCTTCATGAAAACATGTCTGATCAGCCTGTTCCATCTTGTTCCAGCTTGCTGTTAACTGGCAGAGTTTGGAAACAACGAAGGCCCGCGGCCAGAGTCAACTTGCAAGACTCTCATCCTGTACAGGGCGTGCAGTACGCTACCAAGAGGTAAGACTCGGCACAAGCAGAAGTATACTTACATCACATCAACAGCCGTCAACATCTTCTTGTCGAGTCAGCTCTTCAATCAGAGACTGCCGAGGCCTGTCGACCTGTCCGAGTTTATCCTGAACCCTCAACATAGCCTGAGATGTGTGGATCCGTGCCCGCCTTGTGCAAGTGTGCATGTCGAACCCACAATGTCCGGGCCACGGTCCTATAGTAATCCAATAGCCTACATAAATAATATAGTATGCGGTTGTGATTCTGTTATATTGTTATATATATATATATACTATATACATACATAATATCGAACATTTTTATACTTATCCTACAGGGCCCTCGGAATTTCCGCCAGGACCTTTTCAAGCAGGCCGACGCCGACAGTAGTGGCGAGTTGGAGTTCCCAGAAATCCAGAAGGTGCTGGAGAGGCCGCTTCCATTCGCATAGATTGGAGGATGTAGTAAAGATATTGCAGCTTATGATACGGCGTTGCATGTATGATACAGTATGGTGTGTGTGTGTGCATATGTTCGAATTTGTTCCGAATTCATGTATGTGTATACCTCCCTACCTGCTTGACTATGTGACTATGTACGTACACACATCAACGTAACGGCTGCGTTTCAATCCCTTCGATGACCTCGCGGAGGCTGCATGACGAGATGGACCTGCCGCTGCCGAATCGGGATTTGGTCGACCATCGGCCTGACTTAGACTTTGGTTCGGGAGTTTCGGTGTTTTTAACAGGGTTTTTTGTCTAGTCTAAGTTGACTTGTGCTGTCTTACGCCTGTGTGCTCCATGTGCCGCAAAAACTGAGTGGTTCTATGTGTCTAGCCACGTCTGTACAGAGTGGGTGCACGGTCATACAAGCAAGTGGAGCATACTGGAGCACAACTGACAGGAGTCGTTGCTCAAGCGCTTCGACACCACTGGGAGGAAGGTCCTGGGGCAATATGATTTTTACGAGCAGCTTGGATAGTTGCAGCTGGTCCTATTGCGTGTGTGCATCTTTAAATCTTACTTGCTCCAGACATGTTTGCAGATGTCAGCTCCCTCCACACCGCCCGCAGCATTACAGTCAGGTTACTGGTGTCGCAGCTGCGGCGTAGCGCCTTCGACCGCGGATCTGTGCTTGGAAGGGAGTTCTTCCTGACCAAAGGCGCACTTCCCCAAGTCGGGATTGACCCAAAAAGAAACAGTTTGTCTTGGCAGCTTTACGCACACATGTCTCTCGCGCAGGTAAGCAGGATGTGTGGGAGGTCTTTCGCCGCGAGAAGCAATTGGGCACCGGCTCCTTCGGAACTGCCTACAAGGCCACGGCTCTTCATTTCAGAGATTTATGTCGGACACGACCGTCGGGTAAGCTCAGGGCTTGAACTTGAGGACGTTCAGAGGGCTTGGGTGTTGGTGATGGATTTTGTGTTTGCATCAAAAGAGGCTGGTAAGGTCTTGGGCGCAGATCGGTTCCTTGGATCTGGAGCTGTCTCGCCGCTTCACTCTGGAGTGCACGTGCAAGTTTAGCCGCGAAGCTCACATTGTCGTGAGTCTGCAGGCCAAGCATATCAAGACTGGCGAGGAGCGAGTGATCAAGGCAGTGAAGAAGAGCCGCACGGCTCTACCACTCGATGAGATCGAGCAGGAGATCCTAATCATGAGGCCCAGAGATCCGCAGGTTTTCTCCTTGAAACAATGCACTTGCTTACCGGTTCCTGAAGCAGCGCAGGCAAATTGACCATCCGAACATCGTCCGTCTCTTTGAGTGGTACGAAGATGGAAATCGGATTTATTTGGTCTTGGACTACTTGAAGGGCGGTTCCCTGAAAGATGTCGTTTTGCAGCTCAACAAGAAGGAGGGCCCTGGCGATTGCGTTTTTGCTGCGTTTTTGCGGGCTCAGAGTCGCCGTTTCACTGTCGCAAATTTCGCCAGGACGAAAGAGGCCTTAAAGAGGCCTGGATCCGTGAGGTCATCCAGCAGTCTGCTGGGGGTCTGGCTTACTGTCATGCGCTTCGTCTGATTCACAAAGACTTGAAAGACGAGAACATTATGCTGCTGCAGATGCTCGGTTGCATGTAGGAGTGCAGTTGAAAGGGCCTTGGAGCCAGCTTGCCTTGTTTCTGAGGAAGTCAGCCAACTGGGAGAAGCCTCATGTGCCTCGGTCCTGGGCTCTGTGAAGGCAGCTCAGCAGCGGTTCCTGCAGGTGGTGATCATCGACCTCGGCGTCGCGGAGATGTTCTCCATTGCTGACCCTGCGGGTCGCATGATTGGCGGAACACCCACGACTATGGCACCAGAGGTGCCTGCTTTGCCGATCGCGCCGTTATGAATCTGATGTTCCGGAGTTTCGGAGGTCTGGATGGGAACATTTGGCCCTAAATGCGACGTCGGGAGCTCAAGCAGTCTGATGCCTTCCTTCTGGCTTGAGCCGGTCGAGTTCGCTTTGGGCCCGTCCGGCTTTGGAAAGCAGGGTGACGGGTTGTTGTGAGCACTGAAACACCGACTGAGGTGTGGTCACTGGGGTGCATCATGTTCGAGCTCTGCACCGGCTCGCTTCCCTTCATGGCCGCCACGCTGCAGCCCAGTGCCTGGACGCGACTCCACAAACGTGGACCGAAGCTTCGGGCCCAGCTCTCTTGCTCCACTCGCACATGGCGCGCAAAAGCCGAGTGGCAGGTGGGATGATATGAAGACTTGTGCCGACAGCAAGGCCCGACATGGAAAAAAACCCCTTTTTGGCATCCCTGTGGCTGCCCTCCACCCATTCGAAGCTCCAGGTACTGTGCAAAGCCATGCTGCAGTATGATGAAGAGCAGAGACCTTCAATGACACAAATCTTGGGGCCAGGGCCTTGGTGCAAAGTAAGGCCCACGGCATGCCAGGCCGCTAGCCGCTAGCTGAAATCGGACCAAGGTTCCCATACTTCGCGCGACTTTGCCAGCACAAATGAGATCCAAGCTGTTAGCAAACTAAAGTCTGCCGAGGGCCTAGATTCAGATCACGCTCTCGCTGCGGTGCGCGGATGGCAGCTTTACAGTTGCATGCGCATGTAGGAAACAGAGGGCAAACATGAGCAAATCAGTTTCCGATGCACTTTTGAGTTAGTGTCCATAAGCCGCGGGTATGAAGGCGTCACACTTGGCTTCTGTCGTTGGTGGGCTTCAGACTTGAAAGCTGTGTCGCGAAAATGTTGGTTCAAACCAGGTCAGAACTGTTTGCTGACAGCTTGCAGGGCACCCTGGGCATGCCCAAAGTCGCTGAACATGCTCCCGTAACTCCGTGATGTGCAGTAGTTTGGCTTGCTTGGCTGCTTGGGTTGGCAAGCGCAGTAGTCGACGAGGAGATAGCATCCAAAGTATATCTGAATTCTGAGAGTTATTATCTCGCATGAGGGCCTGTGTGACTCGCGCCGGCCCACAGCTTTGGCTCACTTCATGTTGTTGTTTGGCCGTTATCTCTCCAGCATTTCTCCATTCGAGTTTTCATGTTCAGCCCTACCAGACAGCAAGTTGCAAAACAATGATGCTGCAACCTTTTCGTCAACGCCAGAGCAGGAAGGGCTTTTTCTAGCCTCGAGTGAAACGAAGAGCTAGCCGCAAGCGGTATCTACTTAGCGTTGAAGTCACAACTGCGATCAGAGCTTCAATACATCATATCGCTTGGATGCCTTAACAACTCGCGTACGCCTATTGTGGGCTGTGTGCTGTTGAAGTTTGTCAAATACATCAAAAAGCATGCGGCATATTCTAGCATATTCAGACAATTTCAGGCATACAGTTGCACACCGTAGGCGAATTAGTGTAGCATGTCCTAGACCTCTGCCAAATCCTGGTGTGACATCTGGTATAGTTTAGAGTTCTAATATGGATTAGCTGCCCCCGAAGGCCCAAGGTTAAGCACACCTTAAACTAGAAAACTCCCCTCCGAGGATTGCAGCCCACGAGCTGAAGTTTGTGCCACCGGAGAAGTTCGCCAGCTTTCTGAATGCTCACAAAATGCACCGAGCAAGGCCTCTTTATGTGGGAGGGTTGCGCTAAAAAACATAGTGTCGTAAGCAAAGTCGAAGGTCGCAAAGATGTGCCGACGCAAATAGCACCGCGAAGGTTAGTCAAAACCATGGTAGTAAGCAGCGAAGACAGGGCTGATGTTGTTCTTGAGGTTGCGCAAGATGCCGATGCCACCTAGGGTTGAGAACGGAGGAAGTTACCAGGATAGCTGTTTAGGGAGAAGCTCTGCAGCACCTCTGCCTGTGCTCGCAACCTTTTTTTCGCTGGTGGGTGCAAGTCTCGGATCTCGCTCGAGGCAGGGGCTCCTGCTGGAAATCGCAGCCCGATTGCCATTCCGACGCGCTGGCGAGATCATTCGCATGCTGCTTGGGGGGCATGTCAACCTGTGGACATGAAGACCTGATGCCGAGTAACAAAGGCCACAGTATGGCAGGGCTGGATTGCACGCCCAAGGTTTTCGGAAGTTGACGAAGACAAAACCGGCACGATTACTCTTGATGAGCTCATGGCCTATTTTACAAAAGTCGGCATCCACGACGAGGCACCTGCGGACCAGCACCAGCTTCTTGAAGCCCATGCCTGCAAGTGCAAAGGACCTGGACAAGACGTTTGCCACCCTTGATGTGCGATTCCCAGGATCGAGATCAGCATTTTATCGAGAGCTGTCAGTCCCATGCTGCCGCCGTAGCATGCAGTAACGTCTCTGAGGTTGACAAGGATGGCCAGCTGTCCTTCAGCGAATTTGCTGCTGGTGCACTGCTACTTTACCAAGATGCCCTGGAAGACGAACTGCATTATTTGTTCGAGACTTGCGACAAGGACTTTCCGGTTGAGCTTCAAGTGCCCACTGCGCAACATTCGTACCCATCGTCCGCGACGCTCGTTCGCCGCCTGTGGCAAAACCGAACAACAGCAGAGGACAATGATGGCATACTCAACACCCACGAGGCCAGGCCAAAAGACGGTGTCGTATTGTATCTCTGTGGATCTGAATCAAGGCCGAGACGTTCCTGAGCAGTGTTCGTGCTGCCACCGACCTGGGTGGCAGAGTCTCGTCCAGAACCGAGGCCCGGATGGAACTTTATGCTAGGTTACTCGATTGTATTGTCTCAGAATTTCTGTTCAAGTCAGATTCTACTTCTGTACGGCTAATGGCCCAAGCAGACCGCACAGCTTTTTGCCAGGCCTTCTTGCAAAGTGGGCAGATCAGCTTCCAGCAGTTGCACCTTGGATCCAAATCACCAGTTGACTGCAACAATCCAAGCAGAAAGAGTCCCAATAAGCCAAATCGGCTAAAACAAGTCCTGCTTGGTACCGTAGCCTCAGTGTCAGATAGAGGGAGAGTCCCGATGAGATGAGAGAACTGCCCCAGGAAGGATTTCTTGATGGCGCCGCTGTCCTCTCGACCTTCAAGCGCAGCGTCCTCCCGCCTCTCGAGCCGAACTGGCTGACGGCCAAGTGCCGCATCAGCGATTGGAGCAGAACCTTTTACCCGCAGATGCAAGCTGGCAAACAGCCCTGCAGGGTGTGCGCAGGTCGTAGGACAAAGGCTTCATCCCTTGCATGATGCCATCCTTTAATTCACTGAATCGTGGAATATCGAGAGCTCCTTCGTTGGACCTCCAGGGCATTGCATGCCGGGGCGCCGTGGCGCAGTGCTGCAGACCACCGCCCTAAGAAAGGCAGTCGCTGGGAATTCTGCATCCAACAGAGACCGATCGGATGGCCGCTAGCTGGACCTACCCCATTCTCGCAGCCCTAACCTAAGCCAGCCCGAATGCCACAGTAAAGGAGAACCCAGACCGGCTCAGCCCCTGCCAATCCTAACAATTCAGCTGTGGGGCAGTGAGGTGATTTCACTGTCCTGCGATGGTAACTGATAATCACATGCCAGGCTGATGCGCCTTGAAATGTATTCCCACTCCCACCTACGAATGGCCGACACTGAGAGTCAAGAATGAACTTTGGAAGAGCTTGTTCAGACGTCAGCCCGGCCATGGCAATCTCGCAAAAGCGATGCCTTCTCTAAGCTGAAACCTGCATCGTTGATGCAAACGTGCTGTCTCACTGCCATGCGGAGTTCGTCCGTAACGGAAGGCGGAAAGGTGCCGTCTCAGAAGAAAGGAAGTCTTTGGAGAGCTGTTTCTGTCATCCGAGTCGTCTCGTTCAGTGACTCACCTCACTGCCATCGCGGCTCGAGAGACGTACTGACACCTAGGGCTCCTACTTCTGGTGCGGAGCCATGCAGCCCAGTTCCCAGTCACTCTTAAGGTTAGCAGTGGAGAATTCCACACTGCACCGCAATAAACTGCACATCTTGCCGAGGTGGGCTCCACCGGTGGGGCTGTCCCCACATCTAGCCGCATGCCTCTGTTGTGGCTCTTGCCGTACGTTGCTGGCACCGTTCCTTTCACAGCAGTTGTTCAACAACTCCTGTCCGTTTCCATGCCAAGGCCGCGCCCATGACTGTGAGCCCGCCACAGATGTGCCGTCACCATGTCCGGGTGACACGTTCACCCAGTCCTACACGCATGGTGGCGGCCCCGCACCACGCGCAAATGCCCCCGACCATGGTGCAGCCGATGATCCATTATGGAGGCCGACGCGCCCACTGACACACCCAAACGAAACATGTGGCAAGCACCCTTCCTGCCTTATTCAGGACGGGCCACGCCGCAGCCATTGCCGGGAATGCCTTTCAAGCTCCTTGGCGGATGGATGGTTTAATTCGAAGCTGGGGCAAGCTTGGCTATGTTTACCTTCTCGCTCTCAGGCCTGCGCCTGCCCCAGGGCCGGTCCCCGTCGCGATGACGCCCACGCAGAGGTGCCACAGAGCCCTCCTGAAACCCCCCAGTGTCCTTCAATGTGGGGAGGTACTTCCCGAGCGCTTCTCTTAGTCCGACTGGCGGCTATCCCATGGGGCCGCCTGCAGTCGCTGCACAGATGCCGCGGTTGTTGAGGCCGGCCATATCTGTTTATTGTCACGCTTCGCTCCTGCAGCTGATGGTGATTTGCGGAATACCGCGATGATGATAATGAGGAGGAGGCACAGTGGTTGATGCAGTGATGAATAATAGGAGGACGAGCTCCGAACCGACAAACGGATACAGTACTGTTTGTCCTCTCGCAGATGAATGTGATGGTTCCTTGTGAGATCTTGTGACTCTCTCGCTCTCTCTCTGTGTCTCTCTCTCTCTCTCTCCCTTCTCTCTGAATGGGGCAATGGTCGTACATCAGAAGCAGAGCAGTTCACCAGGTCCGAGGAGGGCGCTGCTCCTGCATGGAAGGACATGCAACAGCGCCTGGGTCGGACGGCCTCGTCCGTGGCCACAACTGTGCCACCAGGCCCACCGGGTCAGTTAGTTTGATGCAGAGTCAGAAATGCATGCACGGCATGTTTTTGTTGTTCCATGGCTTTCTGAGACGGTGCCTGCAGAACGCATGCTTGATTCAATTTCGTGCTTCTTGTTTCGAGGATCCCCTGCAGAGCATGCGGCCTCGTCCTTGCTTGCGGTCTCCGCATGCCAAAGCCCCACGCCATCTCAGCAGCAGCCGACGAGACTGGCGAAACCCACTCACCTGCTCCTTGTCCAGGTTTCTGCTTCTTGTGGCTAGAGCAGAGTCAAAAAGACAAGAGCCAGCCCCCAGCTCCAGGTTGGATGTGAAGGTGGGGGACTCGCCTTCGCCCACGCCGCCTGTGCCCGGCTCTCCCGTGGACCTGCCGTGGACGCGCTTGGCCTCCACCACTCTCGAACAAGGCCCGCGTGATCCTTTGAGGGAGGTATCGGCTTCTATGGCTTCTGAAGGCAGATGAGGCAGGCCCCATATAAGGGTCTAGGGGATAGGGGCCTTTATAGTTAGTATAGGGTTTTGAGCCCAAAACGGTATTGGGGATATATGATACTATACTTATAATAAGGAGCCCCCCGAAGGCGAGACAAGTCCTGTCACCCGCCAGGACTTGGGGACGAGGCGAAAGCCGACGACGTCCTTCGCAGCAGCGGCTTCGCCAAGAAGCGACACATTTCTGACCTCGGGGACACTGGGGTTTCACTGGGGTCTGCGACCTTCTGCAAGCTGAGGACCCGAAAGCAAAGTGGAAGATAGTCGGAACGCAGGTGCAGCCTGCAAGTTGGGGCAGCGACCTCAACTTGGCTGCTGGCTTCCCTCCGTTGCAGGTGTTGAGCCGCCCGCCAGTGCCCAAGGAGCGGGCCTCAGCTGCTCTCATTCCTACTCGTAGCTCTTCTGCTGAAGAAAGGATGCGCTGCACCTTTCCATAGTGTCCGAGGCGAGCCAAAAGATCCGAGACCGCTGGGCCCGGCTCTCACTTCAAATTGCCATACCGATTTCGAGTCAGAGACTCCTGCCACCTCTTGCCCGTGGTCATGAGCCTCCGAGCGTGGTCGCGGCGCGATTCGAAGCTGCGGCTTTCGATTTGACAGCTTGGTGTGTCTGTGTGTGTGTGTGAGGGTGAAAGCCAATCCAGGACTGACATCTGGAAACAAAACGCCTGCAATTGCATGCTGGTCGTGCCACGGGGACCCCTGTTGCAACCCGACTGCCGTCGCTTTACGTCATGCGAGTCGAAGCAGATTGCCAAAAAGTAGGCACACGTACACATAATCTTGTTAATGCCCATCTGATTACCATTCGATTCACTAGCAGCAAGGAAAGCACAACACGCGCATCAAGCCATATCAAGTCGAAAGGATTTCCATTCTGCTGCTGTCATCGTACTGCATGCTCAGGGCTGTGTCCGCATTCTTGCGAGCTTTGCAGGTCAAGAGAAGAAAGCAGATCCTGTTGTGGATGAGCTGAAATTGGATGCGAGACGTGCGAGCCTTCGGCTCAGTTTGGAGCTTGGCCGAGTTGCTTTTTGTTGCCACCTAGCCGGTCGGCTGTAGGTCCGGAGCCAAAGGCCGATGTTAGGAGGGCAGGCCGGACGTGCACCAACGGACTACCGCACGGTAGAGTTAAGATGCAGCTTTGCAGAGAGAGGAAAGCGCACATACAGGAAGTGTTTTCAAGTCCCCAGCTGCCAAACCCGGAGGGGAAGAGAAAAAAGCGGATGCGAAAGGCGCGGCTCCTTACAAGAGTTGCATTCGGAAGTTCGGAATCTCGGTGTGCGTTTTCTTCGAGATTTTCAGAAGCACCGTTTCTCTGCATTATCAACGACTTGAGGCGAGGAGCGTAAAGCAGACACGAGAGCTGCAGAAAGAAGCGTGGGGGCCAAGTCTGGGGATTTTCCTTGATGCCGTTGTACAGAAGCTATCGTTACCGTTGCCCGTAACTAGTTTATTCCTATCCTAAATCTCCGAGTTGCCGAGGCGATGAGAGACGAGCCGACGCCAGGGCGAGAGGTCGGGGTACCCTCGTTTTTGGTTTGTGAGAGAACGAGGCAGTGATGCCAAACATGACAAAGACAACATCAGCAGCAGTAGTGGTAGGCTTGGCAGGACAAGCGATGGTAGAAGTACTAACTCGACGTAGTACGTAGTAGTAGCCGCTGTCGTCGCAGTCGTCGTAGTTTTAGTGGGTGGCAGTGGCCGGGTAGTGTATAGTAGTAGTCAGCAGCAGCAGCTGCAGCAGAAGCAGCAGCAGCAGCAGCAGTACATTTACTAGATACTAGCAGAGGGGAAGGAGAAGCAAAACCAGCCAGTAGCAGTAAGTGCGCAGCAGCAGCAGCATCTGGGAACTTCAGTCTCTGCCGTTGCACAGGAGAAGAGCGGAAAGAGGTGCGGATTAGAGGTGCGATGATTCCGATGAAGTTGTGGGAAGTTTTGCTTTCATCAAGTTTTGAGTCTGCTCCCTTGGGGTGGAAGCATTGCAATGAAGTTGGCACTGCCAGGTGATGACCCGAGAACCATGGAGAGGAGAGGCAGAGGTGCTACCCCGCCTGGACATCTAGCTTCGAGCGGAGCGGTGCTACTGCTGCCGTGGATTGCAGGAGAGGACGCAAAGCCTGGCATTAGGGGTCGAGGAGCCCGCGCTTTCGCGTGGAACCGCGCTGTGCGGCCGGATTGCTTTCCGCAAGTGTGCACTAGTTTGGCCTGGCTACCGGCAGGAGAGGAAGGGAAGGTAGTTGACAACAGACTTCGAGGCACATGTCCCAGCTGCACAACGCCTGTTTCCATGCACTCGGGCAATCCTTCGTTGAAGAGTTGACCAAAACGTTACATTATTTATCTTCACAAGGCGATGAGGCAAAGGCGGCACGCGGAAGAGGCCTGTGCGACGCATGGCATGTCCACGGCCTCAAGAGCTTTGCTTCGGAGCTCTTCTCGTAGGCGAAGACATGAGGGCAGAGGCTAAGAAGAGGCTTTCCGGCCGTGCACTCAGTTCGGACTTTTGGGCCAGGTGGTCCGAGTCCAACATTTGGACTCGCGGCTTTTGCGGCGCTTTGACTAGGACAAAGCACAGCTTCGGGTTGCTCTATTTCAGATGACGTTGGCAGCACAATACCCCCGTCTGAACTTCCCTCCGATTCTGTTCGTGATCAGATCGAATACAAGCTGCTTTCAAACCCTTCCATCACCCAGGCGAGGAAGCAAAAGACGCCAGGGAGAGGCGTCGGTTGGGCCCGGATCTCAAGGAGCAAAAGGACGTGAGCAGCCATCTTTGACGCAGTAGACAAGTACCGAACAGACTTGCGGATTCTGGAACGGTTTCATCTGGACTCGAGTCGAGGTGAAGAGGGAAAAGAGGAGGCCCGGAAGCCGGCAGCCAGCCGCCTCCTGAGCTTTCTGGAGGGAGGTATGTGACGATGGCAGCATGCAGAACAGCAAGAGAGTGGCCAGGGCGTGGTTTGGAAAAGGGCAAAGAACCCGGATCGCCGGTCAAAGCAAAGCCTGCGAGGGAAGGTCAGGGCCCCGGCCCCGATACCCTAAACCCTAAACCCTAAACCCTCGTCTCAGTGGCTGGGTCCCAGGAGGCTGTGATGCTCTGAGAGTCCACAGGTGAGCGGACGGCCGAGAAGCCGACCGAGAAGCCCGAGAAGCTGGAGAAAGCGCGGGATCTTGGGGCTCCTCCGGAAAGTTCGGCCTCAGCATGGAGAAAATGGCGGTTGCTGCAAGAAGGCTCTGAGCAGAGGCGCCACCTTTTTTGCAGAAGTGTCGTCTGATGCTTCCGCTACATGCCACGGTTTTCAGGCCAGAGGAGGAGCAGGAGGCAAACTTCTGCAGGGAGATGTTCATCAGCCGAAGACATGGTCGGCCGGAGGACATTGTGCACTGTGATGCGCTGTGCACCAACATGCCATCCGATGGTCGAAGAAGATTCCGCCTTCACGCGCAGGACCACTACCGAGTACTTGGCGTGCTGGGCAAGGGATCTTTCGGTGTTGTTCGGAAAGTCCAATGCCGGCAGACAAAGGCCATGCGAGTGACACTGGTGTGCAAGACACTGCTCAATACTCCGTCGCTCTTGTCCATGTGTAGGTACTTTTACCGTGACAGATAGCTCGGATTCCCAGCCGAGGATGAAGATCGTTGACAAGCAGAAGGCTTTGAGTGGAGGATATCCCTTGAAGCTGATCATGGAAGAGATCGACAAGCTCAAGTCACTGGATCACCCAGCTGTTCTGCGACTTTTCGCCGCTTAACTGCCGATGGCAGACGGGAGCCTGCACACAGCACTGCAAGACTTGCTCACTCACTATTGAAGCTGCGCAGAACAACAGGGCGGCAATGCGTGGAACTGAGGAGTACTACGCTGACTCCAGATCCCTTTACTTGATCACGGACCTCCTTCCAGGCTCTGGGCCTTTGCCCTGGCCTCGGACTCGTCAATGCCAGAGCTGCAGGTGGAGACTTGCTCGAGGCGGTTGAAAAGTCGCACCTTGGCAGATGCAACATCAGGCTTTACTCAAGCGAACCGCGCAGAGGGACTCCGGAAATCAGGTATGCCGAGAAAAAGCAGCTGCCAGAAGCATGGGCAACCTGGCCGCATGCAAGCGTCATGGGTGGTGAGGAGGACAGTATGCGCGATTATACAGGAATATACGTAGGTGTTCTGACCTGAGGTTGCCGCAGTGTTCAGGCAAGCCTGTGAAGGCGTGGCGTACTGTGTCTTGGTTGCAGAGATGGAGCTTAGCCCGGTGTTGCAGTCCCACAGCCGTTGAAGCTGAGGTCATGCCAAGGGCGTGATGCACAAAGACTTGAAGCTGGAGAATATTATGCATCTCGGAAGATTCGAGGATGAATACCCACTCTGGTTCTGGCCTTGCAGATACTCGTAGCCAGTGCTAACGCGGTATGCGCGGTGATAAGGTGTGCTTTGCCAAGATAGGCTGCTAACATGTCGGTGGTGTGTTCGCTTCAGGCTATGTTCCATTGATCCTCCTGAAGCCGTTGTCATCGATGTGGGCTTGGCGGAGCTCTTCCCCCCTGCTCAGGCGTGCGTCTTGCAAGGGATACGTCGGTTGCTCTAGGAGGAACCCATCATGGATGATATGCCAATACACCGCTGACACTGCTGTATGACTACATGCCTGCATTGAAGCTTAGTAGTAATGTCACCAGAAAAGTGCGTTTCCGTTAGCCGAGGCCCTTGGGAATGTTCGGATCCATGTGGGACTTTACATGCCCCTCCACCCTCTCGAACCCTTCAGGCCGACTCCTTCAAGTCCGCAGATGCCGCCGGAACCCTGGCGACCATGGCTCCGGAGGCAAGAGGGGGAAGGGAAGTCGCAGCTCTTCCCTTCACAGCTGTGCCCGGGAGAGAAGGGAAGTTTGGTTGATATCCGCAAGGTGCTGGAATTTGGGAGCTAATTAAGATCCGAAGTTCCACAGGAACTACGCCAACGACTGCGGAGGCAACCACCTCAGTCACCAATCCACAATCAGGGGTAGACGGACAAACCCGAAGCCTCAGCTCCAAATCTCAAACTCGAAAGCCTACGTCGCAGACCGGAAGCCCGTTCCGAGTGTAGACGAAGGAAAAGAGCCGTCACCAAAAGCAAACACCCAAGCCTTGCAGCCAACGCAAACGCCAATTCCCGAATTTTGGTTTGGGCATGGATGTTCGGCATACGAGAGCATTATAGCAGCATAAAGTGACTTCTTCTTCATCATCTGCATCCTCATCAGGAGGAGAAGTAGGAGTAGGAGTAGGGCCCATCGACTCCTGAAGCCGGACCCTTTGCAGGTAATTCGCGGAAGCTTCTGCGCATCGCGGGCCGCACCCAGACCTCCTCCATGCCGGCAGCATAAGCTGAGATGTAAAGATCAACAATCCACACGGTGATAGCTTTGGGGTTTAGGGTTTAGAAACCCTAAACCCAAACCCTAAACCCCGCCTATAAACCCTAAACCCCCTAAACCCTAAACCGTGAATTCAAGCGCTCAGCTGCCTCAGAGTCTCCTGGCCTGACTTACACTTGGCTTGATTCCCGGTGGCTGTAGGTCGCCTTGGAA